CCTTTCACTGTTAAGTATAATGTGTTAACTATAATAACCTAATATACATAATGTGTTAAGTATATGTTAAATATAATATGTTAAGTATAATGTGTTAAACCTACTGTAAATTAGGATATTTTTGGTATGTTCTCTTTTTTAAATTGAGGAAGATTTCCTTTCTATGTAGTTTGCTGATAGTTTTAATCATGAAAAAGTATTTGCTTTTGTTAAATGCCTCTTCTGAGTCCACTGATATGATCATATGGTTTTTCTTTTGCCTGTTGATATGGTGGGTGATACCGATGATCAAATATTGAACTAGCCTCACATGCCTGGAATAACTCCCACTTGATCATGATGTGTAATTCTTTTCGTACATTTCTTTGTTAATACTTTGTTGAAGATTTTAAAATCTTTGTTCATGAAAGACATTGGTCTGTAATATTCTGTTTTTGTATTGTCCTGGTCTGGTTCTGGAGTCAGGATAATACCACCTCATGAAATGAGTTAGGAAGTGTTGTTCCGGTTTTTTTCCTGAAGAAATTGGGTAAAACTTTTCACAAATTTCTTTTTTTTAAACTCTGTTAGAATTCTCCAGTGAAACCATCTGGGCAGGGAAATTTGTTTTCTAAGTTATAAATTCAGTTTATTTAATTGTTGTAGGACTATTCAGGTTGTCTTTTTCATCCCAGTTGAGTTTTGGTAGTTTGTGGTTTTCTAGACATTGGTCTGTTTGTTCTAAGTTGTCAGATTTATTAGTATAAAGTTGTTCCTGGTATTCCTATACACCCTTTTTAATGGCTGTAGGATCTGTGATGATATCACCTGGTTCATTTCTAATATTAATTTGTGTGTTTTCTTAATCTTTGTCAGTGTTGCTCAAGATTTATCAGTTTTATTGTTATTCATAATCCTGGTGATTAATTTCATTGATTTCTCCTCTTTATTATTTGCTATTCTTCTGCTTGCTTTGGGTTTATTTTGTTCTTTAAGTTTTTAAAAGCTCAGAGGAAATTTATAGCACTAAGTACTTACATTAGAATAGAGGAAAAGTCTTAAATCAATAATCTAAGCTTCTTTATAATATAAGCATTTAGTGCTATAAATTTCCCTGAGCACTGCTGTCCCTAGCTATGTACCAAAATTTTTGATTTTTGTATTGTATTTTTGTCTTCATTCGGTTTGTGTATGTTTTCAGTTCTTTTGAGATTTCCTTTTTGACCTATGGAAGTATGGTCATTTGACCCGTGGGTCAAAGAATTGTGATGTTTAATTTCTGTATGTTTGAAGAATTCCCTCTTTTGTTTTTGTTATTGATTTCTAGTTTGATTCTATTCTAGTCAATGAACACACTCTGATTTTTACTTACTTTAAACTTAAATTGTTCTTCATTCTGTAGTTTCCTGGTAGAAATGTGAGTTACTGATTTTAGATCTTTCTTTTCTACTATGTGTGTTTAGTATAAGTTTCCCTTTAATTACTGATTTGGCTGCATCCCATTACTCTTTGATGACTTGTATTTCATTTTCATTTAGTTGAAAATTTGTTTTATTTCTCTTCAGATTTCTTCTTTCACCTAGACATTTAAAATTAAGTTGTTTACTTTCTAAATATTCAGGAATTTTCTAGCTATCTTTTATTGATTTCTAGTTTAATTCCATTCTTGAGAACATAATTTATATGATGTCTTTCACATTTTTTAAGGTGTGGTTTTATGCCCAGATTTTGTGAAATTCTCATTTAAGTGTTCCTACCAGTTTATGGCTCTGGCAGCTCTGTCCAGGTGGGCAGATCTCAGCTGTGACTTGGTGTATAGTTCACGGGCATTTGAAACAAACAACATATATTCTGCCACTATTGGATGGTGTTCTGTCTATGTCAGATTTTTAATTTATTGTGTTGTTCAGTTATTCTATCCGTTGCTGAGAGTAAGTTAATTGAAGTCTCCAATTCTATTTATGAATTTATCTATTTCTCCTTTCATCTCTATTATTTCTTAACAGCTTTATTGAGAATTCATGTATGATATAATTTCACCCATTTAAAATATACAATTCACTGTTTCTTAGTACATTCAGTGAGATGTCCAACCATCACTCCAATCCATTTAAGAACATTTTCTCACCATGATGGAAACCGTGAACATTTAGCTGTTGCCCCTGTCCCTTTATCCCCATCATACCTAGCCCTAGGCAACTGCTTATCTACTTTCTGTCTCTGTAGATTTTCCTGTCCCCAGGGCTTTGGCTTGGGGGCATGGGCTTTACTTGGAGTCAGTTCTGTCTGTGCCTGTTACTGGTTCTGGATTGGAGGCTTCTACCGCATTCTGTTTAAGATGTAGAGGGCAATAAGGTACCCAGGGAACTGGCCAGCACTGCATTGTTCAAGTCCCACAGTCCCTAGGCGGCCTGCCTTCATTCTCCCTTTCACAGCTTGCTTGTGCTTATTTGCTGTGTTTTGTCCAGAGTGTTTCAGGTATAGGGGAAAAACCTGGGAGGAATGGGGCCTACCCCATCTTGGCCAAGCCAGAAGTACCCACTGAAATATACTTTCCCCCCAAATCCAGAGGGATCCACCAAGAGTAATTGTTTCTCTGTAGTAGGCAGTTCTGGATACAACTCTTCTATTCCATTTGAAACTGCACTGATGTAGCAGGCATGTGAACTCTTGTAGGATTTCTCTCTCACTTCTGATAATTGTGTATCTATTAAGACATCAAGAGTGTGTGCTACTTCCAGTTTTTATTCCCCTTGCAAGTACATTTAGCCTTAGGGAAGAAAAACACTTGTTGGACCTCCTGGAAATTTTCAGGAGGTGGCTGAGCAGAGTACGCCACCTTGGGTCCTCTCCACAATCCCATTTCTCCTCCCTCTAGAGTCTGCAAGGGGAGTCTAGCATAGCTGTCTCATCAGCTGTTGGCCTCCACTGAGTCAGTGCTTCTGTTAACCATTCCTGGGTGCCTAATGTATCACATTCTGACGTCTAGGTGAAATACTCCTGTTGGCCTGATCCAATCTTACATGCATTCTTGCTGGCTAATGTACTTAGAATCCATTTCCATGTGTGCCCTCCAGGTTCCTGTTAATATAATTTGACAAGATCCTGCAACTCCCAGCAGCATGTACATGATTTCTTCCAAGAGGAGGCCTTGCAATGATCTCTAGATCATGCTAGGATTTTACTCTTTTTGGCCCTGTAGGCAATGAGTATTGATGGTTGTGGGTCTTCAAGAGTTTTCAGATGACCACCCCAGATGAAGCCATTGAAACATTTTTACACAAGGGAATGCTAGTTTTCTTAGAAGGCAGAAAGGGCTGTTTCTGATATGAAGAAATGTTTAGAGATGTTAGAGAGCCAAGGTTCTTAGATTCATGCCTGTCTAGAGGCTCCCATATCATTAAGTCTCAAGTTCCCACTCTTTCCCAACAGCACCTTTACCTTAGCTGAAGGGACATGGCATAAATATATCTTGATCTGGCATGTGATCCTGAAACCTCTACATTGAGCCTCAGTCATGTCCCTTGCAGCTTCATAAAATAAGGATTCCTTTAAGGCCACCATAAAAACTTTCTGATTCTCTGCCCATGCCTTGAGTTAAGATCTCAAGGCACTAAGCTCATCATTTTCTTTTTGGAATCTCTTCAGCACAGTCAAAAGAAGCCATCTCACCCCACAAACTTGGAATCACCATGATGCCATAGCAATCAAGTGCCACAGCCATTTGCTCTCCCAATGGCTTGCCCTCCTGTTACCTTCTGTTTCAGTGATATTTGAGTAACTGTGGTGCCGCCACATGCTACAGATTAGCAGGATCCCACTTCTCCCTAGTAAGAAAGAAAGCCATTCATGTACTCACCAGCCAAACCTCAGAATCTCACTTGGATGAGCTGCTTCACTGGGCCACTTCTCATAACACATACTGTTCATCAGGGCTAGAAAACAAAATGCACATTTGGCTGAGACTTTGAAGAGAAATTAATGAAGAGGGACAATCAGCTGAAGTTTGGGCAGGGTGCAGAGCACCCAGAAGGATAATAAGACAGCCAGGGACTCACAGCAGGAGGAAGCCCCTACCATGCTTAGTCCTTGGGCCTGAAGGGCAAAGGGAGCTCTGGAGCCTGGCGAGAACCAGAGGTGGCAAAGAGGGTCTGCCAGATAGGAGCTCCAGTTGTAGAGGGAGAGAGGGAGTGGGGTGGAATACTCAACCTTCCCTCTTCCTGCCCTTCAGCCTCCTGCTGGTGCCTCCCACTGGCCTAACCAGAAGCTGAAGATGAGGCAGCTTTGCTGGTAAAGTCTATAGAGGTCCCCTTCCTGGGCCATGGATAATGGCAGACTGGGTTGAGGGTGAGGAAATGGAAAACAATCAGCACAGGGGATCTTGTGGAAATAATAGGAGACTCTTTTCCCCCTACCAGAGGATAGCACTTCTGCCTGGAAAACAAGGCATCTAACAGCTGGAGCTGTCAAGAGTGGGCCGGATGCCCCCTGGGATTCATGATTCGCTGCACAAATGTGCTCAAACCTCTGCTGTATGGGGAAGACCTCTGAACTGTATTATTCAGATTCTGAAATGACCTCTACAAGCAATCTATGTGTATACATACATTTGTAGGATAAATTCCTTAAAATTATGTTGTTCAAGCTCTGTGGTATATATGTGTTCTGGCTAAATGGGTGATATTTTCTGTTACATCATTTTTATAATGGACTTCAAATTCTATCATTGCACCGTTGGTTCTAGTAAGCAGAATTCGAATTGTGGAAAAGGTATTTTTTTTCTTAGTTCCTACTTTAGGGATAGTATATCCTCTGAACACTACTATTAAAATGAACGTTCACGTGCACATACTTCACCTGATTCCAGTGCTCAGTTTTAACAGGAAATTTAAATTTCTACTATGCAGTTTGTTGACTGGCTAATCCTTTATTTTAACAAAGAAAAAAGATAGTTTCTAACAGAAAGAATCAGAAACTTTAATCTTGAACTCACAGTGTTCTCTCCCTTTCTTCCCTTCCAGGAGGACAACTGTTAGTTTTGTGGCTTACTGCTGCTCCACCCAGTGTCTGCAGACTTTTGACCTGCTGAGTTGATAAACACTCAGGAGCCTCAGGAGCATTGCCAGCTTGACGCTGGGGAATGCGGCCAGTCCAGAACAGACTCTTCCATCCTGTCCTGTCCAAGGCGGGGCACTGCGGAACTCCAGAAATGTCATGATCGGGCTTCAGAGCTAAAATGCCTCACCCTTCCCCCAAGTTGGAATATATCCTCCCCCAAATTAAGGACCCGTTTGTCTCTCTGTTTTTCCTTTTTGTGAGTGTGTCTTTTACACAAACTGTTTATAGATTGATGGGCCTCCCCAAATCTAATTTAAAGCAAGTTTCAGGTCCCTGGAGAACAGTGATTTGATCATCTAACCAGATTCCCTTTTGAACACAGGTACCTTCAGTGATGCTTCCTCTCTTCTCCCTTGCTTTCCCCAGAGAGTGATTTCCCTGAGAGCATATTCTGCACAGTGTCTCCAGTGGAAATTTGTCAGTTTTTGAGGAGTTTCAGCAAACCCCATGACCTCAGTGGTCTTGAGTAGAAGGGTGGGGTACCTCAGTTGGCGGCAAAGTGAGACTCCCATGGAGGCTCAACGAGGATCCCAGAGCACACACCCTCTGGAAAGTTCCAGCCTTGTTTGTAAGTTTTGCTATGTAGCAAGAGACTTTTGTGAGGGATTTTAAAAACAAAACTGTAGATTGTAATGAAATGCACTCTTATTTTTTAAAAATGTTTACAGAAAAAAAGTTTAGAAATTTTTAAATTTTCTGATAAGATTTGTTTATATGAGAAGAATTTGAGGAATATTTGAAGCTTTACAAGATCTGATCCTTTTCCTTTCTCGATATAAAGTTTCCATACAATGAGAAAGGGAGAGAAAACACACATTGAAATAAGACCTCAGTGTTCTTTTTTGATGGGTTTATGGTTAAATTTATACTGACTTTAAAATATTTTTGTCACATGTGAAAGGCTTCAGCTGCTTCCATTACTAGTGTTTAACAAGGTGATTCTAAATACAGCCTGTGCACATTTACTTATTCACCTGATGCATGAGATTATCTTCATTTTGACCCTAGTTTCTTATATACTTAACATATACTGCCCAGATGCAACTGAGAACATACAGGAAAAGCAGATCCAAATTCAGCCTTGGACTTCTGCAAAAGTCCATAAACAGAAAGTCTGCGAGCCTCCACTCTGCCAGAAAGAACTGCTCTTCATGAATAAGTCACGTATTTGCTCTTCCTTTCAAAGGATGGCATTTTAATGTTGCTTTGCTGCCAGATGTTCATCTGGTTGCTGTGAAGTGATTCTTTTTTTAAAAATGTTTTTTAATGATGTAAGTTTTCTAAAAGGCAGGGCTGAAAGGAGAACCAAGATTTGCTTGGTAGAAAAATTATTTTTTTTTAATTTCAGATTTATGAAAAATTTGGTTGATGGAATTTTTATTAGCTGCCCTGACTTTATAATGCTATGTTCTAACAGTGCCAAAAATCCTACATAGTTACTGACAAATGTGTGATCTTTTTACAGTCACACCACCTGCTGCCCGGAAAGCACACCATCCACGTAGAATGGAGAAGGCAGAAAGTTACCATGTGTTCCCACTGTATCTGCACTGTTCTTACTTCCTCTTGTTCCTTTTCATAACTTGCTCTATTCAGCCTTAACATTTCAAAGGCTTATAGTAAAATAGGAACTGAAGATCTCTATCAAAATGTAACACTTCTTTTATCCTTTGGAATAATTGAAGTTTTAAGGTAACCTCTACATGTATATAAGTAAGCAGGTGAAAAATGTGGCATGAAATTTCACAATTGTGCCTCAGGCCTAAGTGACTGCTACCTGTCATTTAAGTGACAGTGAATATCTTGCTACATTTTTCTATTTCATCCTCTACAATCATATGTCATGGAATGGAGCTGTGAAACCTGCTAACTTGATATTCAGGATTCTCACTGCGATAAGGTAATACATTAGTTTTACCTGGTTTGAAATTTTACAGAGATGCTTACAATCCAAGCATTCTTTCTCTATCTGTTATGAACTACAGTGTGTTAAACAACAGCAGTGGGCTGGGCATACAACCTTTGTGCAGTCTAAGCCTTCCTCCTTGGGTACAGCACCAGAACTTAACTGATGAGAAGTGGAACTTAAATGGTTTCCCTGGTGCTGTTCGTTATGGAAATTCTGTGCTGGATTCATCAGTGATCAATGTCATTCTTAATCTTTGGATATTATAAAGGAGTGTTATCAACTGGAGAAAATTTGCCTACATGCTATATATTTGAACTGTGTCCAGAGCTTTGCAGAAAAATATATCTGAAGTTATTATATATGTTGTTTTCTTGAGCAACAGTGACTCTAGGTAGAAAAGCATTTCACACAGTAAGAATAAGGCAAAAAAAAAAGTGAACTACTTGGAAAGTATCATCTGTCCAGGTAAGTTTTCTTCAGTGAGCTCATGTGTGGTTGGTGGTAAAGTCCAGGATAGCCTCATGAGCATAGGCTTTCCTATGATGTGATGCAAAGGGGGCCCATTTTAGTGGATTACCCTATCATTGTTCTTCAGTGTGCCCAATTATCACACCAAAAGCCTCAATTAAGTAACACTGTATGGAAGAAATCCTGCATCTTCAGTTAATACATGTTTTGAGCACACTCTTAAAATATAATTAAATGATCCCTATACAAAAGAGCCCAGCCTGGATGGAGGGTCCACTCTGGCTAATGGGTAAGAGTGATGAACCTCTTCGTTATCTGGCCCTTCTCTTCTGGAAGAGAGAGGCTTACATTAAACATCTTTTGGTCAGCATGCCTCACGAAGACCTTTCACACTCCAGCTTGTCTGACTATGTAATGTTCATCTCACTTCTGTTTTACATTGAACATTATGAATTAAAATCTTTGCAGTCTAGGAAAAAAGAAGTCTTCAACACCAGTTGGTTTATGGGGCTCTGCACATAATTTCCTCTAAAATATATAACTATTTTGTAGTCTCAGGGGACTTTCAAAGCCAGTTTTTAAAATTATTAGCAGTACAGTTGTTTCCTGAATGAAAAATCAGAAATTCTAATCTTGCTATAAAGTGCTTAAGCACCATACAGTGCCTCAGCATAAATTAAAACATTTTTTATTAAGATGATTTATGAACATGGATTTCTAACTGGATCAACATTAATGCAATCTGATAAAAATTGAGATGTAAATTCATTTCACAGACTCATAAACATACTCTAAGACTCTTCTTTAAATGGATTCTTACATAACCCTGCCTGTTTTATTATGCCTTCCGTTTTGTGGTTTTCATTCACTCCTGCTTGTTCCTAATGAGGTTTTCCTGTATTTTCCCAGAAACTCAGCGAATATCTTATCTTTTCTTCAAAGGGCATTTTTATAAAGTTTGTATTCTTGAAACTAGCTCTATGTCTGTCTACAAATCGATTACTCAAGTCTCGGCCAGGCACGGTGATGCATGCCTGTAATCCCAGCATTTTGGGAGGCCAAGGCGGGCAGATCACAAGGTGAGGAGTTCGAGACCTGCCTGGCCAGCATGGTGAAACCCCATCTCTACTAAAAATACAAAAAAGCCACGCATGGTGGTGCACACCTGTAGTCCCAGCTACGTGGGAGGCTGAGGCAGGTGGTTCAGTTGCATGAACCTGGCAGGTGGAGGTTGCAGTAAGCCAAGATCATGCCATTGCACTCCAGCATGAGCGACAGAGTGAGACTTTGTCTCAAAAAAAAAAAAAAATCATTCAAGTCTCACCGTGCCTACCCAGAAGTACCTCCTTGTGTCACCAGCTAATAGATCTGAAAGTGATGCAGGTGTCTCTAGGAAAGGGATTGATCATAGCCAAGTGACTGATATTCTCGCTCAGGAAAAGAGCTTGCTTCACAGCCTTTGAAGCATGACTATATGTGTGGTCCCCTTGTACTCTGGAGACAGAAAAGTACTGGCAGCCAGTGTGGTGGCTGGGCAGAAGGTGGAACATTCAGAGATTATTTCTGTATGTAATTAAGAGACTTGCAAGGGTTAGCTGGGGTTTTTTCCACTCAAGTGTGGATTATCCTTGTTACCTGTGTTAAAGAATATCAGGTTTTGTTTCTCATGGTGATTTTTGAGTTTATAATGATTCAAGATTTTTAATAATGAAAGGATTATCCAGGTCTCTGAAAAATTATGGCAACATTGATTTGGAGTGTGACTAAAAACTCATACTGTATCCAGTTTGGTTGCCTCTCTCAGTTACTGCAGTTTATAGAATAATTGAGCTTGAACCATGTGAATGCTCAGAATGTCAGTGGTGAAGTATTTATTCAAGAGAAATGGCTGAATTCTCAGTATGAATGAGTTTTGTGAAGTGTTATAAGTTGCCCTATTCCTATTCCTATCTTCCCCCTTCCATCTCTGTTGTATCCTTGAAAACCAACAGTGTGCAATGAAGGTGAAAAGTAGCAGCCTGGAATCCACTAGCGGGTGCAGAATGGGGTTAGAATCCGTTAAAGGTTCATTCCCAGAGAACTGTCATTATTTGACCTGTCAGGCAGTTCCCTGGAAGACCTCATTTGCAAGACTGTCTTTATTTTACCAGATTGAAGCTTGCCAGGTATGAAAAGCCTTTTTCCCAGGGACATTAGTCAAGAAAGACTCAGAGGCAATTGATTAATTTTGTGGTTGCTTCAAGTAGTGGCTAACCCTTGGAGCAGACAATAGGCTAACGTAAAATGAAAAGCTAGGGAATAAGATATCCATAGGGACCTTGAAAAGCTCTGATATTGGGAATTTAGATGGTCATGTGTATGTATAAAGCTTTGCATATGCCAAGGGTTATACTCCTGCTCAGGAAAGACTTAAGAACATCTTGAGCTTTCACCGTAAGTTGACCTTGACACAGAAGCAGAAAGTGAAGCCAAAGGCAGCTTCCTTCCTGGCTTCATGTTGAAGGGGTGCCCCAACAGGCACCCAGAGCCCTTACCACAGACTTGGAGACATAGCACAGTAAGGACACTCCTTTAGTAGGGTTTAGGGAAATTTCTGTCTATTCATTAGCTGACCACTAAATGACCCTAGCATAAAGACTTCAGTATCCATGCACTATGAAGAATATCGACTTTACTGAATTAGTTCAGAATAGTCACTCAACAGGACTAAACAAGCCAAAACCCAGAAAGTACATCTAACCCTTAGCAAGGAGATAAAAAGGTAGATAAGTATGATTTCCAGAGTTGCCACATTGTTCTTTG